CTGCTCTGTCACTTCTCTTCACCAACCTCATTGGCAACATTCAACACACTATTTGTATTTATATTTTCTTGCTTTGAACAGTGTTGTCAGCAGTTCAGGATAGGTACAGTGAATTTGGCAGTTGTGAAGTTATGTCTGTGCCAGGTACAGGTCCTGTGATGGAGCCTTAGATAAGGGGTGAAATAAGGTTAAGCAAGTGGTTGGTCATGAGCCAAAAGGCAATCCCGGGGAAGAGTCAGTCTTGGTTATTTGAGAATTATGAATGGAAGCATGGCAGTACTAGAGAAGCGGAGTGAGGAAGTGGAGGTGGGTTGAAGGGAAAGCGTCAGAGGGAGGGGAGTTAGTGCTGCTGTGCTCCTTCTCTGAGAGTCCTGGCTCCCTCTTCGATCAAGGCAAGTTCTTCCTCTGCCTTTAGCTTCCCTGCCTTTTTATATGTGGCCTTCCAGCCTTGCCCATTTTGTGACTCCCTGACCAAAAAACCTTTCCTTCTCAGCAAAGCATTAGGTGGGACAAGTCTCACTGCAGGTTAAAGGAACTGTTTTGTGTGACAGCGGTACGAATCTCCCCAGACCCATCCCACCACGCTCACGGACCACTTGAAGGGACGGGATCAGGTACCAGCTGCCTGCATGGCAAAATGGCTGCTTCTCCTTGACTCCCTTCCATGCTTGGGTCAGGAAAAGGTAGCTACATTGTGGCTTGTGCTGGGGAAACTAAATAAGATTAGTCCAATACGTATTAAAGTCATGCATGGTCAATAAAGAATGATCTAGCTACGGAAGAACGAGGGTAAGGGAGAACGAGTGAGATTAGGAGAGAACTGGGCTGAGCCCACCTGTCAGGAGGGGGCAAGGCTTCCCCCAGCAGCCATTTTTCTTCAGCAGGCAGCACGCAGTGTGGCAACCTTGGGCAATGCTGAAGGGCAGTGACAAAGGGCATCACCCATCTGGCACTTGTTCAATGTGGGCTAAGGTGCCAGGACCTTTGGCGGGACCTTCTTATGACAGGAACATTTTCTGTTACTGTTTGTTTCATTAATGTACAGTGCATCTTGCTGTATTTTATTGTAAGCCATCCAGAGAACCCTCTGGGCCATGGGGAAGCAAATAAATGTAATAAATAAATGAATACTGGAAAGGTGAAGCAGGATTTTGTCCAGTGAATCAGTACAGCAAAGTGGTCAGATCAGGCATTGTGGAGATTTTCTGCATTCCTGGTTAATTTGTCTTTGCCATTTAATCCGTACCCTCAGAGAAACTGTGTTTCTCAAAAGCCAATGCATAAATCTGAAGTTGCTGACTTTTCTGGCATGGAATGATGGGATAATGCTCTCTGAGTCTTAAGAGACTGCTAAAGCCACATCCTCTGACATGGAAGGTTTTTAGGGTGGCAGAAGATGGTCTCATTTGCTAATGCCTCCTTCACCTTGGAAGTGTCCTCTGAGCCAGAGGGGGAAGAATCAACCTCATTGAACAAGACAGGGCTAAATGATACTGGGACTGGAGTTGGCAACAAGCAGCCTAAGGATAACGTTTAGCTTATGAAAGCTGCCATTTGGTTTCACAATTGCAAACTCTGACAGAAAAAAAAAAAAAAATCTGGAGGAAAAAGCTGTTGCCCTGACTCATCAATAAGCCACATCAAGAAGTCAGAATTGCTTTCACAACCACTTCACTCCCTCCACAAAGTTGCCCCCAGCAAAGAAGAATAAAAAAATGCTGACCATTGTATTAGTAGATCAGTTCCACAGTGATAAAGTAGGCGCTTGTTTCCACAAATCTATGTATTTCAGCTGAATTAATGCTCTCCTCCCAGTCACTGCATGTGGAAATTTGCATGACTTAGGAGAATGCTGTTAAAAACAAGTGATGATAATCAGTAGATGACCAATCCAGGACTTCAGCTGGAGACTGAAATGGTGCAGCAAGGCTAAATGCAGCCCCACCCCCACAGCTTTTACAGTGTACAGCAGAGCGGCAGGTGGGCTCCACCACTTTAGCCACTCTCCATAAACCATCTTTCTTCTGTGTCCTTCAGCCATTTATCCTCACTGTCCCTTTTGTCTGTGTTGAAATGAGGTTGAGAGTATTGTAGAAATGGACATACATTTTACTTTAAGACAGCAATAACCAGTGGAAGAGTTCTGGGAGACAAGGTGTATATATCACTTTTACCTTACTGTGAAGGGTTGAGCTCAGCACTATATTCTGAATTGCAGTTGACCTGTGTATGGTCAAAGTGGCCTTTGTGTTGTTACTCTCTTCTGTGGATTTGACATGCTGTAACACTTTCAGATTGTGGCAGTATGAAATGCCCTGTTAGTTTCGGGTAATAGACCGCATCTTTATGAGCATTTTGCATTCCTTTTTATATTAACAGAGTTTTACATGAAGCAAGGAGATGAAATATGCAAGAATTATTAAAAGACAGTATAGGTGATTGGGATTCCAGGCCTGAGCTTCAACACCACTGTTTTAGCATTTCATCCAAATCCAAGATTTTGGCTTCTTGGTTGCAAACAAACCAGCATTTGTAAAACAGAGTTTGTTCTTAGTTTATGAAGCATGGCTTGTTTGGGGGCAACAAGCTCCAGGTTTAGATGACACAGTAAACAATGTGTTTCTGGTTTGCATAACTGATGGAGCTAGCAAGAACAAAAAGACAGGTGTGGTGCAGCCGGGCCGGCAGCATGCCGGCAGTGGTCTTCCGGGCGGCGCGGCGGCAGCAGGTCTTCCCAGTTGGTGGGGGTGAGCAGTCCATCTCTCCGTGCGGCCAGCAGGTTAAAGCCCGCGGCTCCTCCTCCTCCGCACCGCTCCCCCTGAGCTGCACAGCTCTCACCTGCACTGGGGGGGGGGGGGCGGAGAAGGGTGCGCCGAGCGCATGCCAGCCAGGTGGTGCCACGTGGTGCAGCGGGGCCGGCAGCGTGCTGGCGGTGGTCTTCCGGGCGGCGCGGCAGTGGAGGCAGCAGGTCTTCCTGGGCGGTGGGGGTGAGCAGTCCGTCTCTCCGTGCGGCCGGCGGGTTAAAGCCCGCGGCTCCTCCTCCTCCGCGGCAGGTCTTCTGGGCGGCGGGGGTGAGCAGTCAGTCTTTCCGTGCGGCTGGCGGGTTAAAGCCCATGGCTCCTCCTCCTCTGCACCGCTCCCCCTGAGCGGCACAGCTCTCACCTGCGCCGGAGGGGGTGGTGGAGAGGTGCGCGCTGAGCGTGTGCCGACCAGGTGGTGCCATGTGGTGCAGGCGGCCGGCAGTGTCCTGGCCGTCGGGCACACACACATTCGCTCTATAAGACGCACAGACATTTCCCTTTACTTTTGAGGGGGAAAAAAGTACGTCTTATAGAGCGAAAAATACGGTACATGTTATATTTGTTTAACAAGACTTTGTAGAACGTTTGTGGTCATTTAGAAGGCACAATCATATATTTCTTGAGAATCTAATTAAAATCATCAAGTATGACGTGGAAAAAGGAGGGTCAAAGCCTAATGAAGCATCTGATCACACATAAAGAACGTTGAAATGCATAATGACTCAGCTATTCCACCTAGTCATTGACCAAAACATTCTCCTTGGACTTGCAAATTCAGGGGCAAGTGCACACATAGTTCCATTCTTGGCTTATTTTTGATATAGCAGCGTCTGCCCATATGCTCCTTCAGAAGTTTTGCAAGGGCATCCTGTCTCACATTTTGGATACAGTAATAACTGCCTAACTGATATTAAGGCGAAGTTGTACTTCCCTCCTTTACTTTTGGCAAACGAAACTGAGCTAGGAAACACTTTGCCCTCTGTTCAAAACACACCCTAGCATTTAACTTAAGCAAGGCCATAGCCAGGAATCCCTTTGCCTTGTTGAGGCAGGTGTGTCAGCTGTGCCTTGCCACAAAGTACATGCTTTAGCTTTATTCAGATTTGATTATTGCGATTTCTTCGGTGTGGGCCTTTTATGAAGCACCTTTAGAAGTTTCAGTATGCAGATGCAAGGATACTGGTGAGTGTTTGGCCTTGGAATTATATTATACTTCCCTTAGCTGCCCTGTTTACCAATCTGTGTCTGGGTACAATTCTAAGTGTTGGTGATACACATTTTCAAAAGTCCAGGATATTTTAGGAACCATCTGCTTTCATATCATTGTGTATGTTTCCTAAGATCAGAAGGAGAGGTTTTTTTATGCTCCGTCTAAGATGGAAACGTGTTTGGAGTGGGCAAGAGGAAGTCTTCTCTGTGGCTACAAAGGCACCCAGATCATAGACTGCTTTGGTGGATGGAATGTGGTTGCCACCGTTTTTTGTTAATTGTTGAAGTCTGCTTTGATATAGCAGATTTTTACTATATACAGCAGGTAACACATTATATTCAGCTTTGACTGCTACTCCTGTCTCTATGGTTGGTTGTTTTATATTGTTTTTTTTGACATTATGATTTTTAAGAATGTAATCCACTGCATGTTTAGACAGAAAAAAATCCTACAAGTACCAACATGCTCCAGCCAATCATGTCCTAAATTTTGTTACCCATGGTGGTTTTGTACCAGAAGGCAGAGTATAACAGTTTTAATTAAGGGGTCCATATGGATGGGATTGATTTCTTATATTGTACTTTTACAGCTGTCTATTTATTTATTACATTTATGCCTCAATTTTATTTCCCTTTGTGAGGAACTGCTTGCATGACTCTGCTCCTCCTTTCCATTTTATTCATGGAACAATCTTTTGAAGCAGGCTAAGTTGAGAGTTATTGAGGACTAGAACCTAGATGGTGTGAGTTCCAATCCAGCTTTCTAACCACTACATAATACTGGCTTTGTTTCTGTTTGTGAAACAGTTGGCTAAGTCTAAATGTGAGCTTAATCTTCCAGAGTTGCTAGCTCTACTGTAATCCTTAAAGCATCTCCATTCAAGTGGTCGGATGCATTGACCCCTCTGTATTATGGCCACATTTTATTCTTGGCAAGTGGGGGGATCTCTTTGATGGAAAAGTGATGATATTGTTTTGTACTGTGTTTAGCTAAAGAAGATCGGTGGTGGTGGTTTTGGAGAGATTTATGAGGCAATGGATCTTTTGACCCGTGAGAATGTGGCCTTGAAGGTGGAGTCAGCTCAGCAGCCAAAGCAAGTACTCAAGATGGAGGTGGCTGTCCTAAAAAAGCTCCAAGGTATGAGATCAAGTTGTCTGGAAGGTAAAGGTTTATAGACCCTATGTTTGCTTACCTCATTTACTTTCTGCATGCTATGTGGTACTAAAACATGCTCAGAGATTCTGAGTACAGAATATTGCTGCATTCTGTTTAGCAGTCCATGTTCCTCTCTAAAGAGCTTCCACACTTCAGGCTTACCTCAATTTTATACCACTTTAACTGTAATGGCTCCCCCACCCCCGAGTATCCTGTGTGGGTAGTTTGAGAAGGATGCTAGGAAAGGATACTCTTTTGCAACCCTCAGAACTACAGTGCTCTCTGGAAAGAAGGAATAGCTATTTAAGTATTCCGTGCAGGCATGTCTATCATACCCCAAAATGATTTTCCACACTGCTTTAGTTACAGAAGACTTGGAAACATCCAGGACATAACTGAAACATGCTTCCTCACCCACTCCTCTCTCTCTCTCACACACAGTAGTCATTCGCACTCATCCAGAAATATATCCCAGTCATCCATCATCAATTCATTCTTTCTCACACTAGCACACCACATACACAAGCCCTCCCACTGCCATTTGCATTGGGTAAAACTTCCCATTCATTCCAGTGAGATTCTTTTCACTGTGCATTTGAAACCCAGTGCTGGAGGAGAGCTTTGCAAATACACTGGACTAATAGAAAGACAAACAAGTGCGCCCTAAATCAAATCAAGCCAAAGCTTCCCCTAGAAGCAAAAATGAGAAAATCGAGGCTGTCATATTTTGGACTGATCAGGAGAAGACAAGATGCCTTGGAGAAGACAATCATGCCAGGGAAAGTTCAAGGCAGAAGAAGAAAAGGAAGAGCAACTATGAGATGGATTGACTCCATCAGGGAAGCCCCAGCCTTCAATGGAGCTAAGCTAAGCAGGGAAGTCTTGGATGGGACATTTTGGTGGGCTTTCATTCATAGGGTCTCCATAAGTTGGAGATGATTTGATGGCACGTAACAGCAACAGAGTCTGCCTTTGTACTGAGTATTTCTGTGGGCATCTGGCAGGAAGCAAGTCCAAGTATGTCTGTGAGGTCAGCGTGTCCACACAACATGCATGAACCCACTGCGCAAGTGGAGTGGGTTCTGCTTCCATACATGTGACCTGTGGGGTTTTTGTACTTGCACAAATCAGTGTGTACTCTGTTTACTTTGTGCGAAAAGTCACTGCCATTCCTGAACATGCATGGACTAGATCTTGGCTCGGTTCACTTGCTCTCAGCTCTGGCTGAGCATAGGAAAGAAGTCTGGTGAAGAAAAGAAAGCCAGATTCTGACCTGATCATTTCATCCTTACTCAAGAGTATTCATTTGTTTCCATTTCTCTTTTGCAGAGTAATGCAGGTTATTGCCACTGGGATTTCAGTGCAGATTTGCACCCTTGCTTTAAGGGTGTAGAGTAGAGGTGCTTTAATCCTTTGTTCCCCTGCTGTTGTCTCTGTCCAGATTGGGCTGCCTATGTATTCAAACTGTGCTGTCAATTTTACATGGCATCAATTCAGACTAGTGGCTCCAATGTCATTGGGGTGGTATATTCATTCTAAGTTTTAGTCAATAATTTAACATTATTGAACCTGCTTTAGAGATAAGGTTCACTACTGTGGATACTGTAGCTCTTTAAGGTTCAGACTAAAGCCCAGTGTGGATACATGGTCCCATAGAGCCACTGGCCTTCACTTCATGACATTGCAAATACAGGCATGTGGGGGCAGTGCTGACCCAAACTGAGACCACAGTAGGTAGCAAAGGTTTACAGCTTTCTTCCTTCTTTCCCTGCTGCCTTAGGATAGGGTCCTAGTCTGGACTGGGCATCCAGCACCTGTAGTCTGCTGGTTTTCCATGCTGGCTGGGGCGGCTTACACCTTCATTGTAAGCCGTCCCGAGATGCTAGTGGTGGACGGGTTAGAAATGCTTTTAATAAATAAATAAACAAGAAACAAAGGTGGCACCCTCCCTCTCTAATGCCTACTTTATTTCCAGTGTTCAGCCGGCAAACTAATAGCCAACTGAGGAAGAGTTTCTGAGCATGCACAGAGTGGTTTGTTGAACCCAAACTAGAAACTATTTCCAAGAATCCTCCATTTCAGTAACCCTAGCTCCACCCACCCCTGGTTGTGCCACTCTGGAGAAGGGGTAGCCTCCTAGATCCACACAGGCCCTCTAGTTGGCTAGCCTTCCTCTCCCGATGCCACATCATGGGGTCAGGGATTGGACCAGGCTCCACTTGCTCCTCTCCCATCTCCCCTTCCTGTCACTTCCCAAACCTGAACAGATGGAGATAGTGGCCTTAAAATAAGCTCTTCCTCCTCTGGCATTTCTATGTCCACAGACCTTGTTTCTGTGCCTTCATAATGCTCAGCTGAAGAGTCGGTGCAACCCTGCCCCAGCACACCAAGAATACCTGTTGTTCTTCGTGGTCTCTGCGTATCACACATATGGCCTCTATGCCTTTGTGGGACCTGCTGTTGGGAAGATTTCCCTAGTTAAGAATTTAGACAGAAGCCCCACTCCCTTCCCTCTGTAGCGTATAAAAGAATTTTCAACTTCTCAGGTTGGTTTGCATTGGGTGTTGCACTCTAATATCTAAAATTAGTACATCTGTGTCCCTCCTTTATTCCATCATATCATGGAACTCAAGGTAGTTTACTTAGGGCTCCCAGGTGGTCCTCCACCTGCAGCTGCCATTGGAACTGCTGCACCTAACATGGAATAAGGTTGCTGATAACCAAGTATCCAGAAGCATTTGGGGACTTCCTCTCAGTTCAACTTGCTTTGGGGAACCAGGCTGAGCACAAGAGGAAGCCCATGAATGCTTGGAGGAATGAATTCTGATAGGGTTCGTCCCAACCCTACCACTGGACCACAGCCTGGGACACTTCTGTGGGCCTTATGAGTCCTTTTTGTTGATAAGGAATCTCTGAGGATTATAGAGGATCCTAGGGCACATTTTAAGGTGCATGCTAAATTCACATATTAGCCAGCTTTTCTAAGGCCTCATGATTTCCCCATGTTTACTGAGAATGTACTGCAGAATCCACCTAACCCTCTCCTGCTGCTGAACATTGTAAGAGGAGATTAATATTGGGCAGGGAAGTTGTCGTTTAGGTAAACTTGTCTACCATTACTGAGCTTTCCACTGAAGGGACCTAGGGATCCCAGGAAGGCAGTTTGAAATCCACTTTCCCTAATGGAATGATGGCAGCAGCTATATCAGTTCTGATTGATTATGTAGTTGTGTCAATTACATACAGAGAGCTTTGGCTGTTGAGCAGTATGGAAATGAAAGGTGAAAGATCATATCATTTGTCTTTACCATTTGCAGGGAAAGATCATGTTTGCAGATTTATTGGCTGTGGACGGAATGAAAAATTTAACTATGTGGTTATGCAGCTTCAGGTGAGTTCTTCTGCATCCTGTTTTTCCAAGGTTCCATAAATGCGGTTGCCAGATCAGCTATGGTGATCAGGAATTATTTCTGCTTAACTATATTGGCAGAGAGCACAAAGTGAGAAATCTCTCTCATTTCTGAACATATTACAAATAATTCAGAGGGAGGAAATGCACAGAAGAGATGGATTGGAGGAAGGGGGTCTACCTCTTACTTTGTTTCAGACTTAGAGACACATAAACCTGTCAAGAATCTGTCCCAGTGCCTCCAAAACATGGTGCAGGTTTTGTGAATTCTCCTGCTCTCTCTCAGGTTCAGAGGAGAGGAGGAATTGTTTTAGTTCACACTGGGATTTTGGGGTAGTTAAAAGTAACAAGACTGTGTTTCCTACACCAGGTAGTAGGCAAAAGTATGGTCCTCTTCCAAGTAATTTGGTGTTTGTGAGAAGGAAGGGGCAATCACTCATACCATGCTGTGGGACACATTTGGAATTTGTGAGAGGCATTCCTAGTCTGGGGCAAAGATGAGGGGTGGTACCTCCACTAGTTTTCTGCATGTGCCAGGGTAACTGAAGGTCAGTTGGCAATCATGCCTTGTCCCTGTTTGTTTGTTTTAGTTTATGAAAGCCCGCTGGAGATCCTGCATTTTCTGTCCTCTTTAATGGGCAAGCAGGACCTGCCTCTTCAGAGCTTCCCAAAGCACTCTAGAGAGGCTTCCTGTGCTGCCAAGTATTTTTTAATTAATGTTTTTCAGCTGTGAATGGGCACATTTTTTTAAGTGTCCCCCGTTGTGCAAACAAGGCTCATACCCTGAGCTTGGGCAATGTGCAGAGGAATGCCTGTTGCCCCACTGCAGCATGCACCCCACTGCATTGTCCTAACCAAGGCTGGAAATCTTTTCCCCTTTTGTTTTCAGTGGCTGGCTATCAGAAAACAAGCCATCCATTGAAAGCAAAGGCATGAGGAATCTTGTGCCAAGAAGGGGCTAAATAATAAACAGCACTGCCTTCCTGCAAGATCTTTCTTTTTTGCTTTCTCTTCCTTTCTTCCTAGCTTTTGTCCTGATCTTCTGGAATGCAGCTAGCTTTTGCCATCTCAGGGTGAGCAAAAAAAAAATAAAGGAACAGTCACAAAAGCCAAAACAGGTTTGCGATTGCAGCCGTCAGTGAAAGCAAACTTGTTCCTTCCTGTAGTGTCCCCAAGGGTTACTGCCTGGAAGAATGAGGGTGAAGGAGGGGGATAGTGGGAGTGATGGACCAGTCATGAGCTTGATTGTCTCTCAGGCTCATCATGGATACTTCCCAAAACAACTAACCCTCCCTGGCTTATTGCTAGGATGGGCTGTCGTGTCCTGCGAACATTCCTGCTGTTGAGGACAGAAGAAGTCCCTCTTGTTCGTTGTCTGACTGTGAAGGGGACAGACACCCCAAGTCATTTTTTATATATAAAAAAGACTCTGTTTTAAAGGGACATATTAGCAATATCGAGTGAGCCTGTCTCCAGACAGGACCGGCTGATTCTGTCATCATGCACAGTGAATTTATATGTTTAGCTTTTTGTAATTATTAGTAAGAGAAAACATCATAGCAGGAAACATTTGGTTACTTTTGTACATGATTATTATGACCTACACTTCCATTTAGGACATTTGATATCAGAGCATCTGCCTCCAGGCTTATCTTCACAAATTCTGACCTTCGTGACTGAGGTTTATTTTATATTTTTGACTCTCTTGTGTCTCTCTAATAGAATGCTAAGTAATTGACCCTTGTTGTTTGGTCAATTTGTATTCTTCTTTGACTCTACAAAACCAGCCAATATCTATGGATCCCTTTGGTTTTTCCAGTCAGGAACAGAGAATGGAAAACAATAATTTTACGCCTAAATAGTAAAGCACCTGGTGAAGGGACAAATGTTTTAGATCACTTTTGGGGAAACATTTGACTTGAACATGAGCAGTTCAGTAATATATTAAAGCCGATAATGTAACAACACTTGCTCACTTGTGAATTTTGACTTTGCAGCTTTTTCTTTTGAATGTAGCACGTTCTAGTGCAACAAAGACTATCTGGACTGTGAGGAAGGTGTTTTGATAAAGAAGAGATAACGCCTCAGGCTGTCTTTTAATATGATGAAAAGATCTGCTGGATTCTTGTAATAAGAACTCCTGAATGGAAAATACTTTATTTTTAGATCTGAGTGGTGACATCTTCATTTTTTATTCAGCTTTTTTAGTCTCTGCTCATACAGCTTTGACTTTCAGACATGTTACAATTATTGTAGCTCTCCTCTGAACCCCTTCTGAGCTGAAGTATCATCCAGAACTGAATGTAATACTTTTAAAATGATATGGTCAAAGCTAGCCTAACACATTTCAGTGCCTTAGAGGGGACCGAACGTCATTGAATGAAAGAGAAAATCACAAAAAATATGATGCTGTCTTAGGTAACCCAAAATCTCATGTGTGAGGTAGCTGCCTTACTCCATCTCGTAATACAGCCAGTTCTGGCCATGGCTTTTACAAAAGAGAGTTTATGTATTGCCTGAATTTTCAGCCCATGTTAACCCATACTAAAGGCCTAAGTGAGGTTTGTTGTGGAATCATGGGTTCATAGGCTAAATAGTAGAGTTGGAAGGGACCAAGAAGACCATCTGGTCCAACCCCCTGCAGTTGCAGGTCAGCAGTTTATCCCATCCCACCCAGATGACTGTCCAGTTTCTTTTGGAATGTCTCCAGTGTAGGAGAGCCCACAACATCTCTAAGCAACTGGTTCCACTGTTCTATTACTCTGACAGTGTGGAAACATTTTCTGAAACCTAACCTAAATCTAAGATATGCAGATGATATCACTCTAATGGCAGAAAGTGAAGAGGAACTAAAGAGCCCTTTGATGCGAGTGAAGGAGGAGAGTGCAAAAGTTGGCTTGAAACTCAACATTAAGAAAACTAAGATCATGGCATTCGGTCCTCTCACCTCCTGGCAAATAGATGGGGAAGAAATGGCGATAGTGACAGATTTTATTTTCCCGGGCTCCCAAGATCACTGCAGACGGGGACTGCAGCCAAGAAATTAAAAGATGCTTGCTCCTTGGGAGGAAAGCTATGGCAAATCTAGACAGCATGCTAAAAAGCAGAGCCATCACCCTGCCAACAAAAGTGCGTATAGACAAGGCTATGGTTTTCCCAGTTGCAATGTATGGCTGTGAAAGTTGGACCATAAGGAAGGCTGAGCGCCAAAGAATTGAGGCCTTTGAATTGTGCTGCTGGCGGAGAATCCTGCAAGTCCCTTGGACAGCAAGGCGATCAAACCGGTCAGTCCTAGAGGAGATCAACCCAGACTGCTCTTTAGAAGGCCAGATCCTGAAGATGAAACTCAAATACTTTGTC